TCAATAAAGTGTAAATGTAAATTCTCAATATTTTAATGGACATCTCAATCCAAAGACCTTGAAACGCATCCAATCTCAATGAAAATCTTCAACTTTTCAAGAGCTTAGGTAAGTAAAGCAAAGCAAAAGGAAAAGAAAGGGAATGAATACAAGTTTACTCAAGGCAACATATTTGTTAAGCTTGAAATCTCTAGACATTATTCTAGGGGCCCCCCCCTAAATAATGTCAGAAAGCTGCTTGCTGGACTACCCCCTTTGCTTGAATGATTTTTTTTTGTTTTTCAATATTTTTGAATAAAGGATTTTGTAAAGAAAGTGTGCACTGACTTTTGGAAACTTTTGGAAAGCTTAAAGACTAAAGAGCTTAGGTAAGTGAAGCAAATCAAAAGGAAAAGAAAGGGAATGAATACCAGTTTACTTAAACTTAAAGCAAAATATGTTTTAAGCTTGAAACCCCAGCAACTCAAAAGGGAAAAAGTAAACTATAACAATAAAACATATTCCACTACAACTAGCCCTGCCAAAAAAAAAGACATTATTCTGGGGGCCTTTATTAATCAGTGCAGGGAAAAAAAGACATTATTCTAGGGGGGTTTATTAATCACAGGTCTACATTAGGAGCTGTTGCTGGGTTCACCGTATTATCAAAAAGCAAGCCGTTGGCGAAACCAAGTTATATACAGAGGAGAGTGTTTGGGGTACTCTTTGTAAGTTCTCTAGCAGGATATTTTGAAGGCTGACTGTTGGACCAATAGCAGAACCACAGTGACCCAAGATGCTTGGCGTTCGGTAACTAAAAAGCGCATGAGCTTCCAGTTCGGTTCGTGGCTACAGATGGACACATCGATGCCCAGTACAGGCGACTCCAAACTAGCATGGTTCCCTTGCTCGATCTGCCGCTCTTCCAGAAGGCGTCATCCGGTTCCACTTCTTCGGAATCAACGGAGAGTATAATATCTTGTGGTTTGAAGATGTTTGAAGTGGAACTCAATTGGCATGCTTAGCTGCTAGCATGCACAGACGCGATACGACGCGATACCACGATTCCGGCCGCATAGCCAGCATGGCCGTTTTCGAGCCAACGGCCGCTGTGGCCTCTCCATTCGACCTATGATGTATGGCATCAGCACCTTTTGCGGATTGTCCTGAAGAATCAGGCTTCTACTGCAAGTCGCAAAAACATTCTGCGGACGCTCAGAGACATCTGAGCAACAGGCAAGGGTAGCAGAGATGAACCGCTTCCTTCACACGGCACATGCTCAATGGCACCCTGAGCTTCGTTTTGTGTTTGTAGCATTTTGCACCCTCCCATTTTGGTGCAAGTGTTGATTGATGCAGAGCGTGACCGCCAGTGACCAAGGCGTACCCATGGTTTTTGCAGAGGACGTATTGGCTTTCTATTGAGCGGTATCAGCAGCCAGCAGCTGCTTCTGGAACAGCATTACTGCAGGTTGCTGTCTATCATTCGATCATCTTGGGCTGCATACCTTGCATCGGTCAGGTCGTCGCGTTGCCCGCCTGGTCAGGTCGTCGCATATATGCTCCCTGTGGTCGTTTTGCTCCTGACACCTGGTAGGAAGGAACAACAAGATCATATTGTTTTGGCTTACACAGCATCGATGTCAAATCCATCAAAGACTCTTTGCTGTATAGACTCTTTGCTCTGTAAACTTTGGGGTTGGGTAGGTAGGTCAGTGGGTTCACCAGTTTCCATGGCCTCCACGTGACGGGTGGAACTTCCTCCACTGTGCTTAGGATGAACCGAGGGCCTGGGGGTGCGTGAGGTATGCGCATGCGAGGTATGCGAGGTATACCCCATAACGGCATGGGATCTGGTGGACCACCTGAGGTGCGACTAAGGCTTTGTCAAACTTATATCCTTATGCATATGACATGTTTCAATGAGATTCAATGAGGCTGTCAGGCACAGCACTTAGGATTTACTGAGTCAACAGAAGGCCTGCGTGTGGTCAGCGAAACCGAGTTTATGCTCCGGGCTTGGGGGAACCTGTTTTATTCAGAGTTGTGTGTGTGTGTGTGTTTGTTGTTTTGTTTGGTATCAAAGGGATAATGAACGTGTCCCATTTTTTTGATGGCAAAGCAACAAATACACATCATGAATACCCATCACACATGGTGTGCATATATTTGACAGTTCGCTCAGTTCGCTCCAACATAAAACCGAGGAACCTGTCAGAGATGTGTTGGCTAACACCCCAGGGCCCCACAACTGCGACACGACTTCCTCCCTGCCAACTATGGTAAGTATATGTAAGTATATTATAGTTGGCCTATTCTCAGACTTCCACTCCACTCCCACTCCAAAAACTGGCTTTGTGTCCGCAGAGGTGTCGCGCACCCCTCAGAAGGCAGGGAGCAGAAGGTGGTTGAAAGGGGGCTGAAAGGCAGCCGTGCCGGCACTGAAAAACCAGGCACTCCACCCCGGGCACTAAAATAACCGAACTCTCCCAAATTAACCAAGAAGATCAGATACTTCCTGTAAGGGAATCTCTAAGCCCTCTAGGACTGGGGTTGTTGCACTTCATGAGAAGCCTTCATAGCAGGCGAACAGGCCATATTCTTTTCTCCAGGATGGTTTCAGGCCATATTCTTTTATCACCCGCATGTTGGAGCACAAACACCTCATGATCATGAAGAGGATATGTTTTTGTACTGGTCCCATGGATTTTGGTGACATGAAACCTGATTCTCCTAAAGACCAAGTATAGCACCTGTGACGCTTGGAAAGGTAGACCTCATTTCATGTCGAGTCCTAGTTGACAAGGCCGCAAACGGTTGCCGAAGCTTTTGGAATTAGAAGCACTTGCGACCTACGAGTTTTTGCCTTGAGTCCCCTGTTTGCTATTATGCTATTATTTATGGATGATATATGATGTTATTCTTCGTTTGGAACAAATGAGAAACTTGGACAACGAATCTAACCAAGCCTCCGGTTTCTGCAACTCTCAGGGTTGTGTTGCATGATATTGCAAATGGACAGAGATGAAAGCTGGATGGATGGAACTGGTCGAATACTATGACCTGTTCGGATAGACGAGTCCTCCCGATAGACTAGACGAGTCCAGGACTGCACCCCTGGATACCACGGTCGGGGTGGTCTGCGGATGGCATACTCTTCCACCACGGGTCTAATTCTCGGGGTTTATGGGATCGTTTGCTGGGGCGAGGCATTTGTCGGATCTGGACCACTTCAGAGACACATTGCTGTATGCTGACAGAACCACCGGTTGCGCATCACTTGAGTTGACATCTCCGGTGATCATTTCACACTTGGTGTACCTTCGCTTTCAGAATGCCACTTGGAGTGTTTGTTTGCACTTGGGTGATGATCCCAAATGCCTATAGTATAAATGTACTCGGTCGCCTCATTCGTCGGGGCTATCGAGTCACCCAAGGTCGTGACACAGCCCCAACAGCGAATCCCAACGGTCGCAGATAACGGATCTTCTGAGCCAAATCATGGGGACAAATGGACAAGGCTGCGAGCCTGTCCGGTCTTTGGGGTCACTGTGGATTTGGCTACTCACATCTACGTGTATATATTCAAGAATGCTAAGGCATCGCATGTTCCATACCCCAGGCAAGTGTAAACTGGACATGGGGAAAACATTTGCTTCTGATTGCCATGCACATTGTACAAGTTACATAGTTTCTTCTAGGTTGGAGGCCATTGCTATTAGCTTTGTACTATCGGACTTGTGCTTGCTCAAGTCCGCAGGTGGCCTTCAACTGAGCGATGCGGCCCGGTCGTGAAGACCCGTAGGCCATGTGACTTGAGGAAACTGCAGCGGTGAGAGGCGGTTGAAGGCAACCTGGGCCATGGTGTGTTGGGTATCACGATGCCCTGGTCGTCTTCAAGGGGCGCATGGAAGGAGATTCTAGCTCTCGAAGGACTAGGGTGGACTTCAGCTTGAAGATCGAGGTATTGAATTGGAAAATGTTCACCTGTAAAGTATACGAGCGTCATTGGTAATTTTCTGGGTTCATGATTCTTCTTGGGGCAAGCTTTGGTGAAGTGAAACCAAGTTGCTTTTGTGATTTTTGATTGAGCATGAATGCTCAGATTGAATCGGGAAGTTTTTTTTGTCCAAAAAGAAGTGTGACATGCAGGGACTTGGTAGCAGTTGTTTTAGTTTTTGCCAAGCAAGCTTCAGTCATTGTCACGCGGGAGTACCCTTCAAAGTTCCATTCCCTTTTGAACTTGTAAACCCTATCCTGGTGAAATGACTTGAGCTCCATGTTATTGGCCATGCTCCGCGCCTTCTTGCGAGAGTTGCCAGGCAGTTTCCTCGCAGGTTTGTTCTTTGCTTTGGCTCTGAAACACTGAGCCATGTAACTTCGGGGTGACAGGTGGGTCGTCACATGGGAGAGAGCCCCACCTGTGGGGAATGAAAAAAACGGTGCGCGTGGCCGGATTCGGGAGAGACCGGTTCAACTCCGGCTTGCGACATCGGAGTTGGAAGAAATGTCTCACTACCCTGAAAGAACATGGTGGTGCAGATCAATCCCTGATGCGCTTTCTTCCACCAGAGAAGAGAAGTTCGCACCAAATCCGACCCGAAGAGCTTGCCCAGAGAGTCCAGTCATGACTCATTTTACTTCGATCTATGGTATTTGGGTGGTGGATTCTGACTGGCAGGTGGGGTAAAATGAGCCAGGCTGGAAGTTCAGGGTTGTCAGCTGCTGCTGTTTTGCCCCGCAAGCCAATGCTGATCTGGACGAGAGGCATGTAATTCAAGCCATGACAAGAGTGCAACTGGAATGTTGAAAGAGCGTTTGCAGCAGACTTTTTTTTAGTTATTTGGGTACACAGGTTGTATGTGGCAATGATCCACAAGCCATTCGTTGAGAGCAGGTATTCCAATTTCGGTACTTGAGCTGTTTGGTTTGCTCCATCCACACTGAAGCCCCTCTCCTACCAACCAGCTGAGACCTTCCTGCAAGCACGGGAGAGCAGAGATAGACACAGCTCACAAAGGGCAGCTTATTTTTGGGATGAGTGAATTCACTGCTGTGTCTTCGTCGTGAACATGCGGACCGCGCTTCTACACCATGTTTCTCCGCCAGCATTGCAGTGGGGAGAGCAGGGGGGAGGAATCACTGGATGTGGCGAAGAAACTCTATTAGCTTTTCTTTGTGAACGCTTTCTACAACCCCAGTGTGTTCTGGGGCCCTTTGTATTGGACCCACTGGGTGGCCCATGCATCTCCTTCTCTCACCCGGTCAACGTTTGTTATTTATCATTGTACTTACAGTATGCAGAGCAGGCACTTTGGAACTACTACTGTTATTGAAAGGTGGCAGCTTTACAAGGACCAAAGTGAGGGCTTACGAAGGCTTCGTTTGACATGTTTGACACAGACTTACCATGAAGGTGGATCGTGAGTTAATATCAGTCCCTGCCATACATAAAACGACAGCTGCTTGCTTCAAAGCATGTACCCTGCAGGGGGCTCTCTCTCTCTCTCTCACAACTCACCTGTATCATATTATCTAGATATATTATGGTTATGTTCCTTTTGTCTATTTTCTACATAGGCTTTGGGACTTGCTCGACTTCATTTGCATTACCAATGCTTTCCACTAGTCGAGCCTACTTTCCAATCTAGTATCAACCACTTTGAACCGTTACCACTGTCCCTCCTATGAGGCCCACCGCACTGCGTTTGCTGGGCAGTTCCACACCATCGGGGCCATTGCACCGGCGGCAGTGCCGCCGCGCCGGGCGAGGCGTGCCGTTGACCAGAGTGACCAGACGGATTCTGCCAGCTATGTGATAACGGTGTACATGGACCTATACAAACTGGCTAGACATCCGATCTCGAAGCGATTCTGTGTGTTGTTCGTATCATTTGAGTGGTTTCATGCAACCCCCCCGCCGTTGGGAGCTGAACGGCTTCTTGTTTTCTTCCCAGTGCAGAAAGCGGAGCAATGCGGAGCAGCTGGTTCAATCTGGGTGGAAATGCACAGAGCATCGCAAACTCCCAGGGGCTCATGGAAGTCACCCGTCAGCCTGAGACAGTAGCAAAGGCATGCTCATGTGGATGCATGGATCCTCATACATAATGTGTATATACTTACCGTACTTACCTATGTTATGTTCTATGATCTTTATAGTCCTCGTGAAAGGAAAAGCTGTAACCAGAAACTGCAAAAGCGGCCAGGAGGAATTCAGAGACAATTATGTTGGACAACTCCCACATGCCAGGCCCAAGCTTCGGCCAGGGTTCAACAGGCAAGTACAGGCACACTTTCCACAACCCTGTGCTTCGTCTATGTGGTTGGTTTGGCTTCTTTCCTGCTTGAAGACACGCCCAAAAGACCTTGCGACATCTTGGTTTTCGGAATCAGGTGCCAGTCATGGTTCCGGAAGGTTAGCTCCCAGTATTTGTGGCTTTACGCAATCTCAGCCCCTCATATCCCCAGCCGATCGCGCACTAGGATGGCCAATCTGTCGGATGTCGACTCATCGATTCAGGCTCCCTGCTCTGGGGGTTGCAGTTCTGCAGATGACCCTTGCAGGCCACGGGCGCGAAGAAGCGCACGGAAACAGGGCCAGGGGTTGCGTGAAATGAAGGGATAGAGAATCCCCCGCATACATATCTGCACCAGCAACTGTGACAATGTTTGGATGCGGTCGTCGGGCTCAATGTTTGGATGAGGTATCCAGATTTGGGGCATTCAAGGGTTCCTGCAGTATAGTCTTTGTGGTGGAGGCAACCTTGTCTTTCGGAGGAGCACTCTGCCGTTTTCTATGTTTCAACCGTGTCGTCCTGCACAACTTGCTTGGTTCTTCCCAAGCTCGACGACCTCGCATGCCCGACCGGAGGTCGACGGGTGCGAACATGTCCCTGTGGGTAGATTGAAGTGACCCTAAGGAGGTGCTTTCATTCTCTAAGTAATTGTGTATGGGTATCAGTCAGGTATTCGATCAGTGTTTGATCAGGTGATACCATCAGTGAGGTGATGGTACCTTGGAGATGGTAATGAGAATTCGACCATGTTCGGCATATGCAAAGGCCATGACGTAGCCGGAGACGGGCTCATCAGGGGAAGATGTTTGTCATGATACACGCATAGCCTTCGCCATGATCAGGTTCTCAGCTGCCCGGACACACGTCTAGGGCCTAGGTTCTGTAGATAACAGGAGATGGGACAAACTCTAACAAACCGATGAAGAAACTGAAATGGTCATAAGTTGCTGATTCCTCCAGATTCTATCTATTTTATATACTGACTGGTTTGAACAGTTTTTTCAACTCTGCAACTCCAAGGGTTGGAGTCCAGACCGGGTTCCAGAGAAAGCAACCCCCCTCCCCGCTGAAACCTGTAAAGCAAACCTCAATGTCAAAGAGTGCTGCGAGTTCGGCCTGCAAACCTTAAAACCGTCGAAAGTGCGTCGATTTGCGACTGCAGCTGTTGAGGCTGCGGTTGATCGACGGTCATTTGATGAACTGCTCACTTCTTCTTCCACTATTCTTCTCATCCACAGTACTTAACTGGTGGTCCTTTCAGCCTCCCAAACACGGATGGCACATCTCACACAACAGTCTGGGCAAGTTTGGTGTTGGGAAATGAACTAGTTAGCACAAAAAAGACAACAGATGTGTTTGGTTGGGAGAGCTGTGCATGCAATATATTATGGTTTCCAAATTCCAAACATCATTTTGTGTTCCATGGGATGCGCGATCCCTTGCCATGGCAATCCGTTGGCGCAAAGAGCGCAAGCAACAGGAAGTGGAAGTGCCCGACTTTCTCGAGGACTTCAACTAGCAAGATGGTCAAGCCACAGACCAGAGCGGGCTTTTTCACCAAAGGGCCTAACAAACAAGAACCGGTTTCGATGCATTTGGGGCTGCCAATCGACCAACATCACTGGCATACACACCATCACGCCCCGCCGCTTGATGCGGATGGACCCCACACGCTCTCATCAATCAGCCAGACTGTGGGCATACTATGTTTTGTCCGTGTCAGACTTGCGCAGATGTATTCATGCATGATGGTGTGTATTTTGCATTTGGCTTTGATCAATGGCCGTCATGAGACCAGATCGATATTTCTGTGTAAGAGCTTCGATGGACGGACATGTACCTTTTGCAGGTCAAGGATGTCTTGTCTTGTCTCCAATTGTGTTCGACCGAAACCCCTGAAACATAAATTTTGACCAAACGCAAACGTGAAAATCAGACCTTGCATTTTCGTGTAAATGTTTCTTTGGTGAGCCCAAGCAGCCGCAAGGGCGAGCGCAAGTTCATTATGTAGATTATTTGTAGATTGAAATGCAGGTGCATTTATATGAGATGAACCGGGCAATATTGGAGATTCTGTAATTTCATATAATTTCGTAGCTATTTGGCAAAGGCTCAAGGTGGATTGCAGCTAGGCTATGTTCTTCATTTGTCCTTAATTGTCGTGAGAATGTTGCATATATTTTCCGCAAGGTCAGCGCAAGCTAGGCGCAAGGCCAGCGATGCCATGTGACCCATGGCCCATTTTACTGGAAAACTTCAACAAGTGGAAGCTGCATAAATCAATCAGAAAACATCAGAAAACCCAAGGAGCAGGCTTCAGGCGATGGATCTTTGACTGCTAAACATATTCGTGACCTTCGAAGTGGCATCCGAGATTTGCTGATGCAAAAAACTAAAGGAAGCTTTGGAGCCACTGGCAGAAGAGGAAGTCCCGCAAAGGTTTGGAAAAGCAGCCTGACAGGGCATGAGCACAACCATTGTCAAACAACTGCCGGCTAGTGAAAAAAGAAAGAATCTCAACACGTATCAGAACATGTGGGCGCACAAGGAGGCGCAAGGGCGAGCGCAAGGGGCCTTTGATGGTGATTGCAACTTAGGTTTTGGCAAACCTGGCCAATTATCTATTGTATAGTGTGATGTTAACACGTCGTACAGTTATACATGTAAGACGCAGTGGCAAGACAGCTGCTGATTTGCTTGGTCTTGTGCATCGAGTATAGTTTTGTGTGTTTTACGGTACATAGCGCAAAGATACATGCATTTTGTTGGTAGTTAAACTAAACACCAAGGTTCATGTATATGTATGTTTACAGTTTTTGATCATGATAGTTCAGCTTTGGGAGGAATGTTTGCTGAAGCACAAGCACCCATGCCGGCCGCAAGTGATTTGGGGTGTGGTTGGTGCAGTGGGTTCCCCTCCATTGCAGTTTTTTCAGTTGGGAGTTCCTGCAATGCTATGCCACAGACCACCAAAAAGAACCAACCAAGGGAAATCAAACTACTATGTCTAGATTCAACATGCCAAACCACCAACCACTCCAAACCAACCCATGCAACCAACGTACCAGACCAACCAAAACCACCAAGTGACCGCCAATGACCAGTAACAAGAAACTACTATAGTCTATAGTAGCAAAGGGCATCGCTACTAGGAGCAAGGACGCTACTAGTAGTGCCAGGCCTTACTATATACTAGTAGCACCAAGCTACTAGCAAAGGATAGGTGAACCAAATGCCGCATCCAACATCCAGGACTCTGCGGCAGTCCGGCTCTACGCCCGGCGCCGCGCCGCTGTCCAGCGCCCCAACGAGCAGCTGCGCGAGCTGCTGGCGCTCCCAGAGGCAGAGCGGCACCAGGCGCTAGCACGGATGAGAGCAGAGAAGGTGGAGGAAGAGATGAGGGCAGATGCCTGGATGGAGTCAATCGAGTGCGGAGTGGTTGGAAAGTGCTTGGATGGAGTGGAGATGGTAGTTGAAGTAGTTGAACGGAGTAGTGGATGTCCAACTACTCTTCATTTGGCAGCCATAGAGCAGGTCAGACGGTCCGGCTGTAGAGCCTGGATAGAGTGGATTAAAGTGGGATTGCTTCGATTGCTGTAGTTCTATTTTTAAAATGGTATAGTTTCGATTTTATTTAAAGTTAGATTGTTTCGATTGTTTCAAATTTGTTAACCTTGAGATTGCATGAGTGAGATGTCAGCAGCGTTGCTATGGGTATGAGATGTCAACATACCACAAACAGGTGCCTGTGGGTTAAAGACCCCGATACGACACGTTGAGATCGGTGAAAATGAAAACAATGTGTTTTGCTGTTGTTTGTTGTTCGCAAACAGTAGTGTGATGGCTGCAGTTTTGTTTGGTAGTTCGTTCTAGCATGGCATCAGTCATAACGATGCTAAGACAGCATGGTCCAGTGACAATCAACACGTCAGCTTCTTCAGTGCTTCCCTCAAAGGAGTGTCCTGACAACCTGTACTAAACTGAAACTACATTCTATATCAGCTTACTCCAAGCGAAGCTGGTTGATGATCCTCCCTGTGACTGGTCACAGGAACTTTCCAAGCAGGTTTCGCTTCCAATGAGATCTAGTCGAGACAGTCAAGTAAGTCTTGCCCCAAGCTGCTTGTCAGCGAAACTCTGGCTCAGCTGAGGAAGGCAAGTGCGAAAAGTGCATGTTGCAAAGCCAATCCTCGATTTGCTTGAGAAAGTGTTTCATTCTTTTTGTCCGGTGTCAACAAAGGAGTGGAAACAAGATCACGTTTAGCAGTTCCTTTTGTTCATGTTCTTTGATGATTTGCAGCAGTGAAAGAAAGTAGTAACAATCGGCAAATGCAGTAGAGAGTGATAGTGGGCATGGAAGAGTAAACATCAAGCTGACAACATTTGGAAATGAGACACATTGAGCAATGTGTTTGATATCGCCACAAATCGCGGAAGTTCTGTGAAAGGGACCCAACATATGTCACACTGTCTATTCCAATAAATCATAGCTGGACATGGGAGCAGCTGGACTGTTTGTTCAACCCCCGCAAGTGCTGATCATAACCACCATCATCACCGTCATCACCATCATCATCATCATCATCAGCAGCAGCAGCAGCAGATGTAAGCTCCTGACAGGGTCAGCTGGTTTGTTCTCACAGGTGGCCCCAACATGCCCCAAACAATCCTGACAATTCAGTCAATCGACTTTCTTCCCACTGTTGCGAATGCCTTCCTCATCGTGAATCTTATTCTTTTGATTTGAAGTCCTCATTGAGCTATTCGGCCCTTCGTTTTGAGTCAATCTGACTTGTTTCCACATCCCCACTCCTTGCCCATGTTGATGTATATGTAAAACTAACTACCCTCCACACTCTTGTATATAAGTTATTTTAACCAAGCCGCCTCTGGATGTTGGCTTGGTATGGAAAGGCACCAAAGCAGCACCCCCCCAAAAGAGCCAAAGCGTGTCTCAGCCGAGCATGCATCAGGGGGCCAAAAGCGGAGGTCCCTGTGTGTTTGTTCGTTTATGAAATACCATGAAATATCACAGCTTGACCGTTTGCAAAGTAGTTCACACTCCAAGAGCGTCGTGTTATATGGAACATTTGGAGTTATATTCCTTGGGGGGGCTACCCTGCAACTCACCCACGACGTGGAACACCCACTGTGTGGTGTTTGGAACCTTGGCTTCCGGTCCAGAAATGTCCAGGGTCCGCGAAACCATCGTTCCATCAAAACAGGGTATCGATGGGAATCGGTTTTCCCGCTAAAAATCCGTGGAGC